CTAAACCAGAATTTTTGTTCAGGTCTTCACAACTGTGTACACACTGCAAAGGTGGCACAGATAGCTTGACACAACACACACAGGCAGACTCACAGACTTAAAGCAATTTGTAGAGCGTAAGTAACACGGTCGAGTAGATAAATCACAGGCACATTAAGAGCCAAGCTCTGTTCCCAAGTTTGCCACCAAATCCAAGCAACCCTGGCTTTAAAAGAGCCCATGGGCCCCAGGCACCCCGCTGATAAGGTAAAACAGATATCTGCACCCTTTGTTCAGCAGGCAGAGAGGACAACCACAGGCACACGGAGACCATCAGTGACTGATTTAAAGCTCTCTTGCTCTGCTGCTATGCAGAGCCTCACCAGAAAGCCAAGGAGGAAAAACACAGAGACACTGCTTTCTTAAGAGGCCAAACAGCCATGAAAACAAGACACCCAGCTCAGAGTAATTGCCAGTGCTAGGAGCTGAACAGGCAGCTGTATGGCTATCTGTGCCTGCACAACAACTGCTCTGCACTCAATACAGAAAACAGCAAGCTCTCCCTCGATTCCACATGCAGCTAAATTATTGTGTATATCATCCACTCTTTATGCCATCAACTGTACCACCAAGGAGCATGTAAAACCATCACTGTTTTCAAGACCACAGCACCCAATTTTCAGTGAAATCTCAGAGGACATTGCTCCATCTTTCTTTGTTGAAAGAAATCATGTCAGTGGTAAAAGGCATTTTTTTCCTTCCCTTGAAAGAATTTCATTGATTCTGCCTAGGCTTTAAAAAACAAACAGGCCAACCATCTTATAGCTCCACTGTTCATCTCCCTTCCCTATTCCACGAGCATCTTCTTGGAGGCAAACAAGGAAAATCCCACTTCTGCTTTTAAGTCTGTCTGAAAAAAGGGATCTCTCTATAGAGATAACATTCACTCTTCAGCTATAGTTAACTGCAATCTCGTAACAGTATTTAAAATAAATTCAATTAGTGTTGTCAAAGTAGATCAAAACCAGAGTGCTCAGATTCAACTCTGCAGAAGAATATGTAAGAACAACCCACAGAAGTAGGAATAAAGAAAATGTAAAAAGTTGTGAGGCAGCAGCTCACTTCACGATAGCCACAGTTTAGTAACTCAGACCAGATTTCAGGATGGTTCACCAGGATCCAACCAGGAGCCTATGGCACATCTCATATGCTGGTTCTGAATCTAGTTTCCAGAGAAGAGTTTGAGAATACTGCAGCAAACCCAGGCACAACAGGCTATTCCATCCCTCCCTTTCCCAATATAGAAGCACAACTGCTACAGCAGAATAAAAAAGAAGCCTTAGACCACAGGCTTAATACCTCTTCCAAAATTTCTACTGCCACTGATTACGATAATTGAATATTCTTCATATTCTTAAAGACATCTGATGCTTTTTAACTCTTGTTGAATTCTTGCTCCTCAGCAAGATTCTCACAGCGTGAGTTTCACTGCTTAATTGCAACCATACTAAATAGTCTATCGTCAATTTACAGTACATGTTCTGTATCATCAGAAAGTCTTGAGGCAGCAGAAACTCTTCCATAGCAAAGCCACCACACTCTTCTGTTGGCCCCGCTTAAAGCTTCTTAAAGAGGGCTTCTCTTTTGATACCTTGCATACACATTCAGAGATGATTTTTGGCAAAAAGAACAAGGTAAGCTGGAGGAACTGTTCTCAGGCAAGGGAAGCTGTAACAAACAGGTGTCAAAAACATTTAGCAAGTTTAGCAGACTCTAAGCGACATAGTTAGATGAGCATTCCTTTTGGCAGCAACGCCAGCTCAGAGAACTGCTGGTACCAATATTTACTCCCACCCCTGCACCACGCTGTCTGATGTGCCCGTGGCCAAAAGGCAAACCAGTTTGGCAAACTGGCTAAGTATCATCATTTCTTTGCCAGGCTACTTCCAATCCAGATCAGCTCCCTGATCCGTTCCAGCATCCAGCTGCTCCGAAGCAGCAGCACCAGCACACACAACGGGGTGGTGCAGAGTCAAAACAGATGAGCACCAAGGACGCCTCAAAACCCAGCTCTAGCACTGAAGGAAGAGCTCACAGGAATAGGAACAGAGGGCAGCTCGGCTCACAGGTAAGGGTGCAGTCACAAAGCACACCCCTGCTTCTTCAAAAACATAAATCAAAAGTTAACACTGGAACGGTTCGCTTGAATTCAGCACATTAAATGTCACCTAGTGTTGCTAACCGGTGTTTATGAGCCCGCGTGTTCTTAAAGGCAACCCTTCGGAAATTTCCCAACAGATCCTTTTTTTTTGTTCAAGTTCTTCAAGATTATCTGGACTTCCTAATTATGAATAAAGTTCCTGTTCTTCTGGACTTGTATAATCCCTACTACAAAGGAGGTCAAGCTCCAAAACAATTAAACTTTTAAAGCAGTAAAAAAAAAAAAAAAAAAAAAAACCAAAACAAAACCTAACAGACAAGTACGGGTACATAGGGGAAAGCTCTTTTAAATTCAATAGGCAGTGCAGTGCTTGAACAAAAATTCGGCAATGAAATCTCCTTCCATTCACAAATTGCTCTGAAAAACTGAGTTAACACCTTTATTTTGCCAGCAGGAAGGCTAGAGGGACTCCAGCAGAGCCTGTAAGCAGGAAATCCAAGCCCACAGCAAAACTTGCTGGGTTAAAGGACTTCGTATCTATGTAAACAGACCACAGACCTTAGGGAGGCACGGAGATTTCTGTGAAGTCCAAGGCCACACAAACGAGTTAGAAGGATTTTATGAAGGCTGCCTGCATTGCTATGAAGAAATTCTGACAAACTTCTACAAAGCAGAAGAGAAAAAGCTCTGCAAGGTAGCACAGCTCACATTTAAGATAAAATTAGTTTGAATACTCACTTGAGTGTAATTACTTCACAGGATAAAGTTGTTGGTGGTGTTTGGGGTTGGGGTTTTTTCCTATTGAATTTGTAAAAGGCCAGCAAAATTCCTAAGCCATAGGCATAGTTTGTGAGGCAAGAGAACTGACACAGCATGTCAAGAATTCAGAGGAAAAAAACAACATCTAGGAAGAAACATGTAGAAATAGGTATGGGAAGTCAGTGTGCTGCAGAGTAGCAAGCCTTTGAATAGCTGGGAAATATGGATCAAAGGTACTCCATTCTTATCCACATCAAACATATAAACTGCTCAGAAAAGCTGTAGTATATGAATATTTTAGCCTTGTGGCTTACATTCGCCTCAGTTTCTATATTTGGATATTTGGTGACAAATGCAGTTTGGCTGTGGACTAACCCTAACTGAAAACAATCCAAGCACATGAACTGTAAAGATGAAATGTAAGATGGGGGGGAAGGAGGGGGAAAGCACAGGGAAGAAAGAGTCCACACCCTTTGTATTCATAATATCCAGAAGAGATCTACAAAGTTTCTGGTTGTATGACCAGAAACCGATTTATTTTCTTCCACATTAACATTCAGGTCCTGCCTAGCTTAGAAGACTGTGTTGACCAATAAACAAATTAACTCATCACAAGAGAGAAAAGCAAAATAATTCCCCAAAACAAACAAGGAAAAAAAAAATAGTGCACAAAAAGATGGCCACAACACTACTATCATAGTCCAGCTACTCCCACAGACCAGAGCAAATCACCATTTCTCCCAGAACCTCTTTAGACATCTAGGAGCTAAATAATCTTTGTTGGGAAAACTACACTTGGAAGTCATAAACAGAACTTTTACCAAACACTGCAAAAACCAAGCGCACAGGCACAAAATACATCCCCAAAGAATTTATCACGTTAACCTGACCAAAGATGAGCAGCTGAATGGGAGGGGGACTTACACAAAAACTTGTTTAGGGTGGGGGTTTTTTTTGCTTGGTTTTGTTCACACTTATTTAACGTCAATGATTGATTAACATTTTGGATAAAGGAGGTCTTTGTTAGTGATTCAGCATCTCCACCCCTTCAATTAAGGTGTTAAGAGTTCACACAAGTGCAGTGAGATCCAAGATCCCCAGACCCCTCTCCACAATAAAATCCCGACCCAAAAAAAAAACCAGATTTAAAAACAAAACAAAACAAAAACGCACTTGCCCCCCTGAGAAAATTCCAAAATCCCAAAACTAACATCGTTGCTAACTCCAAGTCAAAAAAAGAAAGATGCCTTTCTTTTGTTGTTTGAGGAGAGGCCAGCAAGGGAGACAGGGAAAGAATATGAGCCCTTGAGCCATTTTTATGCACTGAGTAAGAAAAAAAGGACACATTCATTAAAAATAATCTCTTTGGAGATCACTGTTAAAAGAAAAAAAATCCACACCGCCTAACAGAGCCATCATGCCAACTTGTCCAAAATGGCTATAAAACCTCAGGAAAACAACCCCTGTAGCTCAGGCAAGAAAGGAGATCCGTGCCATGGGAAGCAGGCGTGTGCACTCCTGCAAGCACAGCTCCTCTGCCGCGGGATGGACACAAAACACTCTGTGTGTGTGCCCCATCAGCTTCCCACACCTGTAACACCCCGCTTCAGCCAGAAATCGGCCATGACAGACCTCAGAGAAAGCAGGAGAGAGGTAAACAAAAAGAAGTGGGAATAAAGCTGGTTAAGTATGTTAATTCTTTCATTTGATTTCACATAAAGCCTTGCCTAGCTTTCCAACGGTTGTTATTGTAGTATCACGAGCAATCACTGATCAAATAATCCAACAAAACAGAAAAGAAAAAAAAAATCTGCACCACTTTTTCTCCTCATGCTTTTAAAGCGCGATACATTTAAGGATCCTTCAGAGCATCTAATGTCTGTGTGGGCTTTTCACAGAGAAACCAAGGACAAAATACTTTCAAGGAAAATAAAAATGTTACTGGAACCCCTAAAAACAGAGAGAGCCGTCTCCCCCGCTTCCTCCAACTGTGTTTTGACAGAAAATCATCCAGTCACCAACAAGAAGGCTTAAGGAGACAAACTCGACTTGGCACAACCCTTTCTTCTCTGCCCAGACCGAGGAGAAGGTGTTACTTTACCAGGTAAGGGCTACAAGACTCGATGTTCCTCTCCCAAAAATGAGGTTCATGATTATTTCCAGACCAGCTTCAGAGTCCATGTTAGGTCTGACATCTGAAGAAGGAAAGCATCTTCCCTTTCGCCTTGGTGGGCATGAAATCACTCCACAACCACTTCCCATCTGACACTTACTTCATTCTTTCTTTGCTGCATGACAATTTTCTGATTTCTCATGTAGTTTACTATTAAAGCACTAATCATGTAATCATCCCACCTTAATATTTTACACCCAAATAGCAACCCACAATTGACTGTCACATCAGATTCTTCCCATCTGTTTCCTCATGCTTTGTCTACCCTCCCTGAGTAAAATCCACCTTCCACATCCCAAACATTCCATCTTCAGAGGCCTTTTTAGACCCATCAGCTACACAGGGAGCCTGGGGACAGGGAGCTGGACAACACAGAAATACAGGGTTCTCTCTCATCCTAGAAGTGGAGCCTTGCTGCCTGCATGCATCCACCTGTGCCACCATTTCCCTAAGCATTTGGGGTCTCCACTATCCATTTTATTTTCTCATCATCTAACACTTAACCTCATGAAACTTCAGATTTAGTCTGTCTTCCCCCTTTGCAGCCAGCCAGAGCACAGACTCTCTCTCATGCATACACATACAGAGCCTCTCCTCTACCTAGCAGGAATCCTTCCAAATAAACACATTTCCCCTGCTTTGACAGATACTGCTCTTCCCAACAATCCCCATATACAAGATCCTCCTCCCACACTTAGTATCCCACCTACCAGTTTGATACTACAGGCTTAGCTTCCCTGGATTCCTGCTCCCCTGATCTATCAACACTGCCTCCCAGCTCTGGAGCCCTACAGTTTCCCTCATGACCATGTGCACCACCTCCCTCCTGCTGAAAGCACTTCCTACCTCATATTCTGGCTCCCAGTCCTTCCCCAATCCCACTCCCATATCTCTTTCTTACAATGACTCAAGTCCCAACTCCTCACATGCTTCCCTTCATGTACCACTCTCCCCAGCAAACCTCATACTCATTTCTTCACCCAGCTCTCCACATTTTTTCCTGCAGATGCCCATAGTTCATGGTGCTTCCTGCACCACAGCCCCCATCCCTTCCTCACAGCACGTCCCAGGTGATCTATATCCCACACACTATCTCCCACCCTCTCACTTCATGGAGTGTATCCCACTCCCTACATCCCTGTGTCCCTGCCCCTCACTTCAGCCCAACCACAGAGTTCACACACGCAGCTCCCGCCTCACTTTTACACCAGCTTCTTTCTCCCAGGACAGTCTTGACTCCCAATCCAACAGCCCCTCACTGAGACTGGAATCTCACAACCACCTCTCTAATCCACCCAACACTGTCCTCTTCCACAGCACGGCCCGAAGGCACTTCCACAACCCTCAGGGCAGCGCAGATCACCGCAGTGCTGCACCCCACCGGGCACAGCCCCAGAGCACCCCACAGAGCACAGCCCCAGGGCACCCCACAGGGCACAGCCCCAGGGCACCCCACAGGGCACAGCCCCAGGGCACCCCACAGGGCACAGCCCTAGAGCCCCCACAGAGCACAGCCCCAGTGCCCCCACAGGGCACAGCCCCAGGGCACCCCACACGGCACAGCCCCAGGGCACCCCACCGGGCACAGCCCCAGGGCACCCCACAGGGCACAGCCCCAGAGCATCCCACAGGGCACAGCCCCCAGAGCACCCCACAGGGCACAGCCCCAGGGCACCCCACCGGGCACAGCCCCAGGGCACCCCACAGGGCACAGCCCCAGAGCATCCCACAGGGCACAGCCCCAGAGCATCCCATAGGGCACAGCCCCCAGAGCACCCCACAGGGCACAGCCCCAGAGCACCCCACAGGGTACAGCCCAGGGCACCCCACAGGGCACAGCCCCACACGCAGCAGAGAGCCCCAGAGCATCCCCCGCACCACCGAGCATCCCACACATCTCTCCACCAAGCACAGCTCTTGGAGCATCCCATGCACCACACTGCGACCCAGGACAGCCCACACATGCCTCCTCCCAGCACATCCCCTATGGCATCCCATACATTCCTCCATAGATCACAGCCCCCGGGGCATCCCCTGCACCGCGACGCGAGGCACGGCATTCCATGTGCCGCTCCACACAGCACAACCTCCAGGGCCCCCAGTGCACCCCAGACCACCCCACACATCCCAAAGAGCACAGCTCCCAGAGTATTCCCTATGCCCACACCTCCTTCCATGGAGCACAGCTCATGGAGCATCCCCTGCTCCCAACACGTCCCTCCATGGAGCACATTCTCCAGGCATCCCCTGCTCCCCACGGAGCACAGCTTCCAGAACATCTCCCATGCCCCACACACCCCTCCGTGGAACACAGCTCCCGCAGCATCCCCTGCTCCTCACACATTCCATGGAGCACGGCTCCCGCAGCATCCCCTGCTCCCCACACATCCCTCCATGGAGCACATCCCCCAGGTATCCCCTGCTCCCCACACATTCCAGGGAGCACGGCTCCCGGAGCTCACCCCCTGCTCCCCACACATCCCTCCAGGGAGCACATCCCCTGCTCCCCACACATCCCTCCACGGATCACAGCCCCCCAGGCACCCCACGCAACCCCTGGGCTCCCCTCGCCGCCTCCTCTGGGGCACCCCCGGGACCTCCTCCCCCCGCAACTCCCGAACTTGGGGCGGGCGGCGCGGGTGCCGGTGCCCGGTGCCCGCCCCGCACTCACCACGCTCAGCCCGGGGCCGGCGGGGGCGGCGCGGCGGCTCCGTCCCCCTCCCGCACACACACCTCCCGCCGCGTCCCGCAACCCGCGGAGAGAGGAATGGTACCGCCCGTCGCGCGCGCCCCGCCCCGGCAGTGGTACCGTCCGCTACTCACTCGGCCGGCGGCGGGACCGCCTCTCGCTCCCCGCGCCGCGCAGTGGTCTCGCCCGGCCCCCCCGCCCCGCCTCTCCCCGGCCAGAGGGAGGGGACTGCGGCCCTTCCCCCTTCTCCGCACGGTGGTACCAGCCGGGCTCTTAAAGAGACAGGCTCCCCTCAGCCTCGCGGCCCCGCCCTTTTATTAACATAGTCCGGCCCCCGCCCCGCGGCGGCCACGCCCCCTCCTCCCCTTTTAAAGAGACCGCGAGCCTGGAGCTTTTCTTAAAGGGGCCGCCTCCCCCGCCACCCCCCCCCAGCGGCTGCACCCCCTTAACGGAAACGGCGCGCGGGGCCCCTGAGGGGCCGCGCGCGCTGTCCCCCGGGGGATGCGGGATCCGGGATGCGGGACAGGGGATGGCGCCGCCCGGCCCCAAACTGGTGCCCTGCCCGCCCTCCTCGGCACCGGCCCGCCCAGGCCCACTCCGCTGCCGGTGCCGTGGTACCCCCGCCTCAGCCTCGCTGCTCCCCCCGCCTCGAGGGGGATTCCATGCGCCCCGGCAACCCGAGGCGGCTACCGGGAATCGCCGCCGGACCGATGGCACGGCCCGGGGGAGCCACGGTCCGTCGTGGAGGGGCCCGGCCGGCTGGCACATGTCCCTTCCACACGGTTCTGAGGAAAGGGGGATGAGAGCGGAGGGGGGAATTAGTGGAGGAGAAGCGCGTCCCTCCTCCCCGGGGGCTGAGCACCCCGACTGCCCACCCGCCGAGTGACCTGAGGGCTTTCTTCTGGTGAGAGAAAGCGCCGGGATAAGCCACAGCTTGGAACTGAACAGGGAGGGACCAGGCAGTAATGGCAAACAGACACAACCTATCAACTCCTAAAAATGCTCAAGGGCCCCATCCTGGACAAATGCTCCGTGTTTGGGGGATTAGACATCAATGTAGTTTGGTTTCAAACTGGCAGTGAAGAGTTTTGAAGATTTGTAGCAATCCCCCGCCCTTTTCAGTCTGAGACTTACTCTGTGAAAAGACGGCTTTCAACATCCTCTAATCCTTCTCCTTCACCTCCACAAAATGTCCTTAAAATGGGCGATGTCGTGGCTGTAAGGAAGAGGTTTCCAAGCCACCGGTGGCACACCGATGCAGCCGAACAGAGAAAGTCAGCGGATCAGTTTTGCTTATCCGCGCTGCCTGAATAACCTGTTTAGCCAATACAACATCAGTGAACAGAAATGCAGTGTCCTCCCTCCCCCTTTATCCTCGTACGACCCATTCTTTGTCCGACTCCCACTTTTAAGTAACTCAAGTCTTTGGAAGAAGACCCTTTTAGCGCAACATTCACGCTGGGCGTTGCTCTTGGCAGATAAAACCACCTCCTCTCTTTGCTCAGCCCTCAATCCCTTTTTCTCTTATTGTCCCTCTCTTCTCCTCCCCTTGTCCTTGCCCACTGGCAAACACTGTTAAAGAACTCTTTACAGCTTCCTGAGCACTGCAACAGTAGCTAATTATCACCTCTTACCCCAAATAGATACTCTTCCTTCAGGGACATACTTCTTAACAGTGAGGTTTCAGTCTCTTCTGGTTTGCAGACCAGAGACTCGAAGCATTTCCCGCTGGACAGACTTTCAGCCCACTGACACCTTTTCTAGGCAAGTCCCTGGGGCTACAAGTTCCCAGGATCCACGACCCGAAGGTGGAAATCTGGTCTCTGACAAGTCTTTCCACCCACTGACGCCAGCCCCACCTGCATCTTTCCAGTGATCGCGGCCAGCACCTTGTACAGCTGAAGCGTCGGTGAAACTGGAACCACCACCTTTGCTGCCATCGGCTCCACGCTCTCCACTACATGATGTTTAAAGCTTGCCCATTTTTACATTGACACGGGTCTCTTTCAGTGCGACTCCTGCAATTCCTTCTGTCCTTCACGCATCCCACCATGCTGGCCAGGCAGCCCAGCACGGTGCAAGGAAGAGAATGTACCTCACAGTGCTTCCTTCCCACAGAAGATCCAGTCCCACTCCCACCGACACCAGGAACCCATCCTGGTTTGCTTAAAAGGGAGTTGTTTGCCCTGGGCAGTAGAGGCTGGGATTTTTCTAAGGAACCTAAGGAAGCCAGGCACCCAACTTCCATTTTCCAAAGCTATCTTTGAAAATCCTACCCTGCGCCTCAGTCCCAACACATGGAACAGCAGTGATAAAATACATGGAGCTAGCGAACTGCCGTGTTTGTTCTCCTCACTCCTCCGACCCAGTATTTCGCTGTCTGGTCCCTTTAGGAGTTAGACCGGGGAAAACGAGCACAAAATGCTACTAGTTTGCAGATGCTGTGGTTCCTCCGATTCCCCTCCCATCCCCCCGACCCCATCCCCCCACATTTCAAACAGTTATAAATGACTGTGCAACTCTGCAGGCAGCGGTCTCAAATAACCACACCAAGCCTCTCCCCTCCAACGGCTTTAAGTCTCTTCCTTCCTCTCCTTGGGGCTCCGGAGAGCAGCGATCAAGGTGCTTTGCTTCACTCTCAAGAGTTAAGTTGCTGCTTCACCCACCACCTTTGGGAATCCGCCACAGCAGTGAATTCCCAAGGCTGTCCTTGAAGGGTTTTATCATGGGAACCGACAACAACAGGCTCCAAAACGATCCTAACTGGTTGTAAGTCGGGATTTCAGGTAGCAGAGCCCCAGATAGTGGGATCGTCCCCGCCAGCCTCGAGAGCAGCCCCCGGTATTGGGGCCTTGCCCTCCCTTGGCCAAGCTCATAAAAGCTGCCCCAGAGAAACCAGCTGTCCCGACTCTTTAGAGCACTCCGGCAAATCCAAGAACATCTTGGAAGCATTACAGCTCTCACCACACTGTGTACGCTCTCCTCACAACTCCCTGTCTGCAGCGAGGGCAGGACATCAGCCCGTCTATTCAAAAGCAGGGCCCTCTTCCATTAGAGCAAACCAAGCCTAAGGAAAGTTGCCACAGGAGCTCTGGTTCTTCGGAGCAGACAGATCAGACGAGATAGCCCAGCCAACAAAATATATTTGCATGACACTTTCTGTACATGGTTCAGAGCATGGCACACCCCAATCGCGGCTTTTATTCTCTTCAAGGGCCTGGCCCTGCAAACACTTAATTTTACATGTGTAAGTAGAGTCCCACTGAAGCACAATGGAGCTACTCATGCAAATAACATTAAGAGCGTGTAGGGCTGTGGCTCTGTTTCACTGTTCCATCTGCAGCAGACC